AAACAGGTAATTGTAAGAGATTCTTGTCCGTCTTCAGTGATCTTCATAGTCGAGAGACCATAGCCGTCCAATCACTCTCGCATAAACATTGAAAAATAACTCACGATGCCAAAATAAGTTTCAATATTGTGTTGATGTCTCAATGTGAGAACCGAAATTCAATTGATGATTAAAAATATTTTCTATCGACTTTTTATTTTCTTATTACTTTTTATTACTTTTATTACTTTTGAAATTTATTACTTATTACCAAGTAATAAGTAATAACGCTTTTGTTATTACTAATAATAGTAATATAGCAGCCCTATTCTAAATTTATTGCATTATAATACAAACAAAAAGCTAACACATTACAAGGCATTACGAAGCATCCAGGATAACTGCGAAATGTTATAAACTTCCTTCATTCAACGGAAAAAGCGCACAATGTAAAAAGCTAAAACATTTTCTGGACACCCTCTGAAGATCCCAACAGTCTTACAACAGCCTTAACTACTTTTAGAAGTCGACTTTTGTTCATTAAAAGCACGTGTAACGGGCTGATTTTATTCTCTAGAAATTTTTTATTCGAAATATGCATCACCCAAGTGAGAAATGCTTCAGCGTACCAAATTAGACTCCATACTATCCAGGAGAGTTAGTCTGGTTTGACACTCAGAGCAGCTTTTCTTTATTATTTGAGTGTGATATTTTTCTTGGCATCATTTTCATCTCGAATCAATTTGCTTCTTATATCTGCGCGCACTTCGTCGGTCTCTGTTATGGACCGTGAACTTTTGTTCTTCACAGAAACGAAGAAATCGTATTTTGGAGAGCAAAAACCAGCTGAAATGCAAAAATGAGCTGAAGAACATATTTTGCTCTTCATTTTCCAGAGAACACATTTAAGTTTTTCAGCACATTCTCTAAAGAACAGTCGACCAAGGTTTTAACAGTGTATCGGAATTTTGTGTGAGAATGGAACATATTTTAATAATGGTTGACACAAATAACTGTACTCAGGAACGACGAAGAATCCGTTAACTTTGACTTTTCTTGAAGAAGATGAAACGAGGCAGGCTGTTTTTTCAGAAAAGGACAAAAAAGTTAATAATTTTTTTCTTATCGTATATTAACAGTCAGATGGTCTTTTGTTTTCATCGTTCTCGCTTATATATAAAAAAGCTGCACTTGTGCTTTTTTATTATTCATATACAATACACTGCGTCAATTACTGGTGTAGAAAATGTGCACGCAAAAATGAGCACAAGCAAGAATTTTCAGTCCTCAATTATAGCTGAGAAGCAGAATTTAGAAGACTATATTTGTATATGGTTAAATACGAGCGAAACATCGATTTCACCCAGACAAAATATACTGACAAGACTAGGACAAATATTTAGTTCTGTTATAATATTTGACAATAAACAGTCATGTTACAATTATATTTCGTCAATTAAAACGCAGGAGAAGGTTTTCTTAATTGTTTCTGGTTACAAAACGCTCAAACTTTTTGATTCATTCAGACGTCTGGAAATAATAGTACGCATCTACATTTGTAATCCGAAGATCACTAAAGACGGACAAGAATCTCTTACAATTACCTGTTTTACAAATATTGACAATCTCTCTGAGAAACTAAAAGAGTTAACTCCGTTCACCGAAGTTATTTGTTACGATAGCAGACATTATTTTACCAATGTTCCACACTTGAAGGAGCTTTATCATAGACAACAATATCAAATGGAAGAACAGTTGTGCCGATCAACAAGAATTTTTTTCGATTTTGACGAATGTCTCGATTGCGTTTCTTCTCTCTGCGATAAAGAGATAGTGTTGATTATAACTGGACAAACTGAGACAATTATCGATTACATCTGTCGCAATCGTCAACACTTTTCCGTTCGATACATTTTTATCTTTGATTCTTATGCATCCAGTTGTCAGTTAAAAGAAATTGAGTATTGTGTTGATGAAAATTCAGTTTTGTCAAAAATTAAGATGCATCTTACATTTCAACAGCAACAATGTTTCATGTTATCGGATAGTATCAATATGTCATTGCGCAATATTAATAAAAAACGTTTCGAATTTCTTATTGAGCTTTTGTTAAACATGCCACAAACAGAAAATGCAAAGCAAGAGATGTTAGAAGAATGTCGTTTGTACTATAAAGAAAATAGAAATGGACTAGAGTTGATAGATGAATTTGACCAAAAATACACTTCAGATAAAGCAATATGGTGGTACACAAGAAGCAGTTTTTTATATCGTTTATTAAATGAAGTTTGTCGAACAGAAAATTTTGACCGAATGTACGCTTTTCGATATTTTCTCGTTGATATGCATCGACAAATGCTAAAATTTCATGCAGCTTCAAGCCTAGAAAAAAAAGTTCTGACCGTTTATCGTGGTCAGTTAATGGCAGTGGAAGAGATAGACGAACTCAAAAGAAATATTAATCAAGAATTCTCAACTAATACGTACTGGTCTACAAGTATCGACCCTGCCGTAGCTTTTTCATACATTGACAGTGATGGTTTTAATGAGCTCGAATCCGTGATTTTTCAAATCACGATTGATACAAGTCTGGAGACAAAACCATACGTCTTTGTTGGCCCATTAAGTGACTTTAAACATGAAGAGGAGATTATTTTCTCGATAAGCACCGTATTTCGCGTAAATTCAGTCGGACAGAATGACGATCACTCCTGGGTTATAACTCTGACTTTGTGTTCGATGGTCCAAAATGTGCTTAATATTAGCGAGCAGTACCCCATTCTTGAGCTAATTGGAAATGTGATGCTGTACAACATGAACGATTACGAAAGAGCTGAACGATATTACAGATTAGCTATTGAGGATGCTGAACTTGATGGAGTGCGATTAATTACGATATATAAGAAGCTGGGAAAGGTTTGCGCACTAAAAGGTGAATATTCAGCCGCGCTGGAAAATTATGAAACAGCTGAGAGAATATGTTTGAATAGCTTTGAGTACGACCCACTACTTCATGCCGAAATACTGGAAGAGATTGCAAGCGTCTATATGACTACGTCGGAGTACAAAACAGCCATTTACACGTGCCGTACATTGTGCGAGATCACAAGGAATTACAATCCTATCTCACTATATATTACTTATGACCGTCTAGGAGAAGTTTATGAGAAAGAAGGGAAATTTGATCAAGCACTAAGTTGTTATAAGGAGGCTAAAACTGTGGGAAAGATAAATTACAATCGTCTGTTAAAAAAGTTAGGACGACATGATGATACAGCGGCACGAATAATGTTGCTATTTTCGATTGTTATAGTACTAGTCCCAACATTCAAAAGTATGTTGCCAAAACTGACTGAGTGTCAAGAACAAGTTCTTACTATTGGCTGGATCATAACAGTAGAACATGCTCTTATAGGTATGTTAGTATTATGCGCCATCTCGTTATATAAGCGAAGTTGCAACCTTCATGTATTTGAACTCTCTTTCTCGCCGCCTGTAATTTCGCCTTACGTCAAATATCGGCTCATATTACTGCCGTTAGGGATAATTTTGAATACAGTTATATTTCTTTATCGAAAATCATATCATATATACCAAGCTCGTATCCGTATTTATCCGTATGTTATAATATTATTCGTTACTGTGTTGTTATGGTACAAGATTTTCTTGAAAATTCCCCGATGCACACCATATATTCATGACTTAGCTTATGATTACATAATGGTTATAATCAAGTATAAAATTCGTGAAAGTGCAGGATTCTTATCAATTATTTATCCATTCAAATATTTTTTATGTGAAATTATAACTATTCCAAAAATTGTAGATGGCTGGAACAGACTTGACATGAGATTAAAGATGTCTGTCTTCTATATCTTGATATTCATCGTCGTCTCACCCGCCATTTTCTGTTATTATACATTTTCTTGGTTATTTGTTGATTTGTTTATTTTAATATATCTGGCTTTGAGCTTCAAAATTTTAGCTACGCTTCTAGTTCTTCGTCTACTCAACTGGTTTCTTTATAAATCATTAATTATTCCTGATCTAGTTATTTTATACGTGTTCAGACGTCGTCAAAGAGTATTTTTATTTATGCGCGAAAATACATTGATTCGTGTCATGTTGTTTTGCGTTTATTTCATTAGCGTTGTCCTAATGTCAATTGGAATGGGGTGTCCAATTTACTACGTTGGTTTGCTACTACTGACACTATTAAATTTGCTATTAAACTATTTGGAACCTAAATCTGGTCCTTTCTAGATACTTCTAAGCTTAGGTTAACTTGTATTCTTTTCCTTACTAAGAAAAGTTGTAGATTAGTTCGTTTTTTTAAAAGTTATTCTAAAACGAGAAGGGGTCAGGTCGAATACAAGGGAACATAGTATGATAGTATGTGAAGGGGAGGGCACTCATTCAGTTGAGATATCACACGTGAAAGCGTCAATCACGGAGTTAGCGCGAAACGGAAGTTTTTGGTAGCACAATGCAGTTGTGAAGATTATTTAAAACCAGTGATGTCAGTTATAAACTGACAAACTGCTTCATATATTTTGAAATAGTTAGTTTTGTTAAAGCATGATTTTAATAGTATAGCATTTTTATAAAATGGAATATTTAGTATTTTAAATTGATTAATTGGAATCTTTCTATGAGAAGGATAATTTGAGCAATCAAACAGGAAATTATTACACTCTTCCTTAAAAGACACAAGTGGAGACAGTAGGGAGATATAACACATTTTTTTTGGAAGAGATAAAAGTTTAACTGTAAAAAATCTACTCTTAAACGGCAAAAGAGGGCTTCTGTGCGTCGACTAGTTGTCGATAGTACTTCTAAATAGTTGCCTGTTAAACTGATTCTTAGCTCTTTTCCGAATATAAAACTTTTTTTTTAAACATAACGCCGGTGATTTTGTTGTAAGTTTCTTTCATTTTCGAATCATAGTTGGATAAAAAGAATCTTGAAAAGTGGCACTTTTATCGCTGGAGGCGTACATATCGATACGTCTATATCTACGCGAACGACATTATTGTCTATTGGAAAAGATGAATAAATCAGCCTGACTTTCTATTTTGTACATCATGTTTTAAAACCTATGTGAACAAAACCAGGCTGGTTTATTCTTCTTCTACAATAAACAAGTCTTCGCAGTAATGTCGTGTCACGTACATATCATTTCTGGTGTTACTGCGAAGACAATGTTGAGCATTATGCTGTAAAAAACGGATATGATCCTGCGCATGCACGCGAACTGATTAACCGACGTTTGAGCGCCCGACATTTGAGCGCCGACATTTGAGCGCCGACACTTGAGCGCCGACGTTATGTTTAAAAAAAAAGTTTTATATTCGGAAAAGAGCTAAGAATCAGTTTAACAGGCAACTATTTAGAAGTACTAT